TTAACATGTAGAATTTAGTTTTTTTCTCTGTAGTGCCAAATCACAGCACAACAGTCATCTTAAAGCACAATAAAACAGAGAAAACAGACAAAAGATTTTATACACACGTTAAATTGATGCATAAGGTCAGGTTCAGATCTGTTAAACGCACTTAAACAGTCTATATCCTTAACTTGGATCAATAAGTAGACCACTGCGTAATAAATAATGACACGATTGTGATATTTTCTCTTTCTGTAAGTGTAAATAACTACATTCTGAATGTGAAACATTCACATTTACAAAACAGTCACAGCTTGAAATGTCTTTTGAAAAAAGTCAGTGCGTTTTCAACAATGCATGTTAAAATTTGTAGATAACGGTGGGCCATTACAGGCGCAAAATCATTCCACACCCAGTATTCTGGAAATAAAACTATAATAGCGTTTTACTTATTCCATTCAAACAGCAAGCTGCAGAAGTGCTCACATTTTTAAACTTTGCAGACAGTTTCGCTCCTGTGTAGTAATCCTGGTACAACTGCATCAGTAATACCAGTGCATTTTAGCAACAAATTCAAGATATTAGTGCAATTTTTAAACTTTGCAAAGCCATTGTGCAAATTTTCCAGCTATGTCTGACACCTAGGCACTATTGGATGTGCTGCAGAGCAAAGTGCTACTGGATGCATATGCTTAATTTCATCTTTCTTTTTAAACATAATTTTTGAGTTCTCACCCTGGTTAACATAGAAGTTATGACTATAGTTATGACTAATTAGAAAAATCTTTAACAAAGTCACACATAATTGTGTCATATTATGTTTCATGTAAAATGTGTTGTTGTTAACATGATTTGCCTTTAATATGGCCAAATGCCTTCACAGATAGCATTGCAAAGCATTTTTTATACCCCACTTTTCCGGTTTTGTAACAAACCATTTCATTATGAATTCTTTTTAAACATCATACGAGCAGCCCCACAAAGTGCCACTAACCACAATTTGCATTGCATGCATTGTTAAATATAGTCACCCACAAGGCTAATGTTTCATATTCTTCCCCTGGAGAGCTACATAGCTCACACTGTTTTACCGGTTGGACTCACAACAATCCTTTGCATTACTGCAGCATGCAAGTTTACTTCCTTTTTCTTGTTGCATCCTCTTTCTTGTTGTTCAGCTGTTCTTAAAGAAAATGTCTGTCCTATCTGCATGTCTCTGTATCTTTGATGTAATGTCTTTCTAGTAGTTTGCATATGCAGAAGTGCTAACATTGGGTACATCTTTTTAGTATTGGGAAGTCATTGAGACGATTGGGCAATGTTAAAAACATTTATCTTTTTGTTTTTTTTTCATTTGACCTGAACAAAGACTCCAACTTTGAGACATTTACTATTTTCAAAATTCACCTTTCTTTTGTATAATTCATACTGTTAATTGCTTACACACAGCACTTATGAGATGATTTTCCGTTATGATCTATGAACTCGTAAAACTTAAATGAATTTCTTTATTCTACAGAATGTTTTTAATAACTTTGTTGTATACTGTCTTTGTGATTAGCTTGGGCTGCATGTGGAACCACACCATCCACATGCATGTTAGAGCGAGGCCATGGGTGGTGTTTCACACGATACCCTTCTGAATTTACAGCAGTGGGCCAAATTTCAAGCTTTGCATGTGTAGTTTTTTTCATTCTAATCTTCCACTTTCTCTGTTTTAGCCTTCAGAAATATTCACCTAACCCAGAATGATGCAATGCTGAGTGTATCAATGTCTGCCTGTCACAGAGTTACTACTGCTGTAACTAATACTGTCTGATTCACTTTCAGCCTGTGTCATGCTCACTTCTGCCTGGTGGGATGCAGTTTTTAGAAAGTGTGCTTATTTGATTACTTCAAGAAAAAGTGCCTTCATGCATATTCATTTAATTAACTACAACCACTAACACTGATGTTTGAAATGTTAAATACTGAATGCGTGACTTTTTTTT